TTTAAGGTAGGGATTATCTCCTTTTTAAAAGTATAAATGCAGAAAACTGGGGCTAGGGATAAAGAAATTAACAAGGAAATCATGACTACAATTTGTCAAGTCATGTTAATAAACATTTCATTTTTATTTAAATGTTGTTCATATACTCCACAAAATATTCCTAAAAGGCAGATACTCTTACTGAGAAACTGATGAACACAAGAAAATCACTATGAATGATAGATAAACTTTAAGCATTTCCCAGTATAGAACCAGATGTCCAACAAAATCATCCATGGAAATAAACTTCCTACAATTTACAAGACAAATAGAAAAGTTGCTTATAAATTATGAGCGTTAAAAAGGGGGAAAACATATGGTTATAACTGTGTGACAGTGTGTTGTTTTCTTAAAAGATTTATTAGCCTGGTCAATTAGCCCTTTCCATGCATCTTCTTGTATTTATGAAATCCATCATGCCAGAACAGTTGATAATTGTTCATTTAATGTTTCCCAGTCCATTGGACAGTATTGGTCCTATATACTTAATAATAGTAATTCTTAAAGGTGGCTTGACTATATTAAAATTATAATTTCATCTTCCTTTCCCTGTCTTATTTTACTCTAAACTGATTTTTAACATTCTAGCATATGTTGATTTTACTCAGTCTCCACCACTAGCATGGTTCATGAGAATAGGTATTTTTGAGTGGATACCCTAATTTCTAGTGCATGTACATATTATAGACTCTGTAAATATGTATTTGTGGATAAGTGATTAAAGAAACTGTTTCTGCCTTTAAAATTCACAGTAGACAAAACATAATAAAGCCCTCTATTCCTACTTCCAGTTTATTTCTTATGTAAACACGATAGTTACATCCAAAGAAAGACAGCAGGATCTTCTCTTACAATAAAGTAAGAACTACTTTTCATGATCTTCTATACATAAATGCAATAAAAGGGGCACTTGAACTCAAGCACATTTTGCAGCAGTTTCTTAAATATCAGAAAGCGACAACTAAAAGAAAATGTTTTAAATGAATAAATTCTATACTTTGCCATACCTGCATTTTAAAAAGATTCCATTTTTTCTGAAATTGTTTAGACAAGTCATGCGAACAAACACTCTTCTAGGAATGTTTTCAGGTCACTCTGTGCTATTAAACATAAATAAATAATAATAAATAACATCCATCACTTTTACAAAACCCCTCTCCCTTCCCCACGCAAGTCTCAAAGTGCATTACCAAAAAAAAGATTCACAATAATCTTACAAGGCACACATAAAATTTAAAGATAGCTCAGTGGTGGTTTCTAAAAACACTCAAGATAGAAGATATACATTTCTTAAAAAGCGAACAATAACAAAAATTTTACTCTTCTTCTGCCCTCTACCTCCCACCTATAGGCTTCCCTCCAAAAAATTTAATGTAAGAAGCAGTAAGGAAGAAAAATATTTCAATCACAAGTAAATGACTTCTGAAAGGGATGTATTTCCATGCCTACAAATGGTCAAACAATCATAGGTCAAATGGGAAAGAAACGATAGCATTAAATTATGTTCTCCAATGGAAGAAAAACACAATTTACTTAAAATTCTGTCTCCAGTAGAATACTCAAATTCCAAAACTCGCTTCTCTGGATTTTTCTCTTTCTGTTGGGAAGAATTAAATACATGTAAAATAGAATTTTCTACCTGGAGACAATCTTAAAAATTATCAAAACCTACGTTATTATTTTACATAGGTAGTTAAGAGAAGCTCAATGAGAGTGGCCTGCCCAGCATCACTAACTAGCAATCTGAATCAGAAAGTCAATTTTCTTATCTGGAAAATAAGAAAGCTGGATCATCTAAAGTCCCCCCTCCAGAGTTAAAATTCTATGCAGGGAATGTTTTTCACAAAGCTATTACAAAAAAGGTATTTAACATTCATCACCATAATTCTACATTAGGAAACTTCTTACAAATGCTACAAAGTATATTACATTTGAAAGTCTGAAAGGCTTTCAGTAGAATGAAACATAGCAAAAGTTCCACATAAAACTGAGGTAAATGGAGAAGAAACATTATCTTTCAAAGTAAGCTATAGCCATGCCCGGCCTTTTTAATAAAGTCTATCCTCTGTTTAGAGAACATGACTTTTTTTCCTGCTACATTTTAAAAATCTTTGTTCTAACAATGAGAAAAAGTTTTGTATTTTATATCACTAGGGATATTAGAGAACAGCTTATGACATGAGCTGAAACCTTAAGGTCACCCTATGATCATGGCTTTTGCTTTTGGCACATTTCTGGGAATACAGGAAAAAATTGGAGGGGTTGAAATTGTTTAATCAATTTGGCAAATGACAGTTTTGTAAACGAAAACACTTGTAATTAATATTTAAGAAGTCCTAATAGCTACTCATGTTTACACTGTTTATTCCAGTGACAGCTAAAAAATAATGCTGCTTCAAAAGTAATAATTAAGAGAGAAACCATTGGCACACGTAACATGAATGGTTCTCAAAGGCATTAAATTGAATGGGGCAGAAAGTCTCAAAAGATTAAAACAAAAACGAGTCAAGCCCATTGCCATGAAATCGATTCCAACTCAGGACAGAGTAGAACTGCTCCCAGGCTGTAAATCTTCAAGGAAGCAGAATGCACATCTTTCAGTAGATTCAAACTACCAGTCTTTAAGTTGGAAGCTCTAATATTCTAGATATGACAAAATTGTAAGAATGGAGAACTCATTGGTGTTTCGGAAGGATTAGAATGAGGAGGAAGAAAAAAAAAAAAAAAAAGAATGAGGAGGAAGGGCTGACCACAAAGGATAGAATGAGGAAATGTTGAGGGGTGATGAAATTGTTCTATCTCATCCGTGTGATAAATGTACAAATCTATATCTGTTAAAATTTAACAGAATTGTATGCCCAAAGCAATAAGCCTTACTATATGTTGATTATAGAAACAATAAACTAAACACGATAAATTTAGAATTTCTAAGAAATGTAATTGTTTAGAGCTTCATGCTAATGGTATTCATTTTACTGACCAGAAAAATAATTCAGTGCAATTGTTTTAAATAAAATCAAGAAACTTACGTCCAATTCATAGCTTCTAAATTATGTATCGTTGCAACTCAAGGAAATTAAATTATTTTAAGGACAATTAGTCCATATAGGTTATTCTGCTAGTCCCCAGTGAATCTGAATGTGTTCCTTTACAGCTAAACTTTAAGATACCTTTCTGTGTAGTTTAGAATTCACCAAGAATTTAAAAAACACGTTTCACAACTCATCAGCCCTCAAAAGTGACTTGTAACCAGTTAATTGTGTGATTTTACATTTATTCTTCTCCAGTTATCCTAATTCTTTAACATTCTTTTACATTTGAGTCCATCATCGAGAACAGTGGTTCTCAACTTCCCTAATGCCGCGACCCTTTCATAGTTCCTCATATTGTGGCGACACCCCAACCATAAACTTATTTTCATTGCTACTTAACTGTAATTTTGCTACTGTTATGAATCAGGTGACCCCTGTGGAAGGGTCATTCGACCCCCAAAGGGGTCACAACCCACGGGTTGAGAACTGCTGATCTAGAGACTGCAAATCAGAACCTGGAAATACAGTTGGATCTCATTCTGTCACTGAAATCAAGATTTAAGAAAGGGGCAAAAAAAAAAAAAGAACGGAACACTATTTTGTAAGCATACCACTGGGACTTATAACATGAAGTGAAAGAGAATTCCATCAGTGTTTCTCTGCCTTCCACAACTTTTGACTGTTACTACCCTGTCTCCCCGAAAGTAAGACACCCCCCCAAAATAAGACTTACTTGCAGTTTTGCCTCTCACTGAAATATATGGAATCCCCCCGAAAATAAGGCCCCCAAAGCTACCATAACTCTGGACTGTAGCGGGGGGCACCACTGTCACTGTTGGCCACAGCGCAGCCAAAGCAGACAGGAAGTACGAGGTCTCTTTTAATAAAACAATAAACAATAAATGTGTACTGTATTCTTCTTCATGGAAAAATAAGACATCCCCTGAAAATAAGACCTAGCGCATCTTTGGGAGTAAAAATTAATATGACGCTGTCTTATTTTCGGGGAAACGGTAGAAGTTCAGAAAAGATAATATCTGTATATGTTATTATCAGGCTGGCCAAATAGGACCCAAAGACAAGAGGGTGGGTGGGAGAGGGAATGCAATATTACAAATGTGGTATTCCTACAGAAAGACTTGGTTGAAAGAATAATAGAAGGTTAACATAGCCAAATATATGGTTTTAATTATAATAGATCTTGCCTTGTTAGATCAGGCCTAGGTAATTTTTCACCACTGCTTCTACCATGGACAGAAGTTAAATGCTTTTTGAGGGCAGATTTGTGCTTGAAATCCATGTCACAACAGTGGCATTTGTATGGACGATCCCCACTGTGTATGTTCAAGTGGTCCTGAAGGGTGCTTTTGGCAGTAAAGGTTTTCAAGCACACAGTACACTGAAAGGGTCGTATGCCCATATGCCCTCGAATGTGCCGGTTAAGGTTTTTCTTCTGTGTAAATGTTTTTCCACACTGTAAGCACAAGAAGAGTTTATGCATCTTGAGATGGCGCAGATAGTTTTCAACATGAAGAAAGCCTCGAGGGCACCTAGGGCACTGGTGTCTTAGTGAGTAACTTTCTTCCAGACTCGGAATCTCATTCACTGTACCCTGACTTCTTTCTGAATTCTCACAAAATATGCTCTGGCCTTGATTCCCAGGAATTTCTGTCACTCTGTTCTCAACTGTAGAATTAATCAGTGAATGCTGGGTTTCAGAGAAATACATGCTTGCTTTTGAAGAAGTACAAGGCTGTGAAAACTGCCCATTAGCCACACTATCTGTACTGATAGATTCCACACGAAGGATACAAATTTCATTGTCTTTAAAACCTATGTCTACTGTAGACAGCTCTGGTGATGTTGCTTCTTTGCTCTCTGATGTCAAACTCTCTATTGTAGTCTGTAAAGTGTTGCTTTCCTCATCTTTAACGTGGAAATCCATGCTGACGGGACTATCTTCTGAAATTTCAATTATCTCACAGTCTTTATCCAAACGATCTTCTTCATTCTTAACATCTAGATCAGAGGACTGACACAGGTCAGTGTGCTGGCTGTTGTTTTTCATAGAAAGATCAATTTCCAGATACTTTGACAAAGCTTCTGTGCATTTTTCCACAATGTGAACCATCTGAAGGTAACTAGCAGCAGTCAAATATTTCAAGAGTTCTTTCCTTTTAACTTCAAGTGCTCCAGTGTAGCAAGAGAGCAGCAACTTTCTGCCGACTTCGGCACTCTGCAAGATGGTGATTCTGACATGTTTCGACTGAGTGAGTAAGAACTGATCTCTCATGAAAGTGGAGCATGCAGCCAAAATCACCTTGTGCCCCTGGAACTCGGTGTCATTAATGTAAATTGATACATCACAAAACAAATTCTGCTGTCTCAAAAGATTCATCTTCTGTAAGACCACATCTCCTTGCTGTTCAAACTGGAAGTGTAGAACATCAGACTCAGCGGCCATGGTCACAATCTAAGCAAAATAAAACATACATTGATGCAAGTTAGGGGGATGCTCTCCTCTAGTGTGACCATAAAACAAACAAATCCAAAAACCAAGTTCTAATCTGGTTGCTGGGAGCGAATCCCTATACCACTATCTTAAAAGTCTGAGAATTATAATGCACGTCTGTGGTCTCCTAGCACATTTTTCATACTTTTGCTCAGTAGTTACCATATTAAATGATAACACGATGCATAATTCTGTCACATAGAAATGTTAACACTTTCTATTATTTGTCTCTTTTGCTAAATTGCGTGTCTTATGATCAAGATACTTTCTTAATTCGGAATACCCATTAGCAAACAGTACCCACCACAAAGTATTTCATATCTCTCAAACCTGACACCTTAATGTTTTCTCCAAAATTCCCACTCCCCACCACCACTACAGGTCTGCGCGCTTTTAACCTGAAGCATCCCTATGCCTTTCACCAGTTCTCCTCGCCCTGTTCGTTCTCTTATACTCCAAACTTTCCTCCTATCAGCGAATTCACTTCAAATAAAACTTAAAACATTTTTGCTCTTCTACTTTATATTCTCCACCAGTCCCCTCTATCTCCAGGTCAGACTAACCAGCCTCTTTACCCAGTATGCAAGATCCCCCACGAGCTGCACTAACCCAACTTTACCCGCCATTATTCTCTATTTCATTCTCAAGTTTCCTTAGTTCGTTTTTTCAGCATTGCCCAGAGGAAGCGCCCGAATACGCCTTTGGACGTGTTTGACTCGCGCCTCAAATTCCTTTTTCCATCAGTGGTTTGGTTCTTTTAAAGGCGTAAACAAAAGACATCTGCGGCGAACCTTTCGCCTTCCCCGCAAGGACTGCTCTCAGCCCACAGCAACGCGATGGGTCTGTCCTTGGACCAGCACGGGGCTGGCAGGGAGCGGGGGGAGCTCGCGACCATCAGTTGAACTGCAAGCGGACCGCAGGTGGCCCTGAGAGATCTCTCCGGCTCGGCGTGCAGGCATCCTCAGTCCGGCCTGCCAGTCAAGGCCCTGTGGTCCAGGAGGACGGAGCCACAGAGCAGCCACGGGCGCCGCACCCTGCCTCCCTCCGCCGCCGCCGCCTTCCCCCCATCTCCCCAGCAGCCCGAGTCTTCCTCCCGCTTACTCACAGACTCAGACAAGTAGGTTAGGTTTCCGCAGCGGCGGTGGCCGAAGCCGGAAATGGAATGGGGGAAAACACATCCGGTATCAACCTGCTTTCGGCTACACCGGGGCAGTCCGGACGCCCCGGAAGAACATCTTTCAACTTTCTCCCTTCTGCACTTTCTCCCACGCCATCCCCACTCCTTGTAGTGAGGCATCGGTATTCTGGCAAGCTCCATCGTCCCTTTCTTGGTTTTGTCAGAAAAAATCGGTCTCCTTCCGGAGTTCTTCTAGAAAATCGAATTGGGAACTGGGGTACAATGCGTCGAACCTGAATACTAGGTGCTAGTTCACCTGCAGGGTCCTTACAGGTTATAACTGGGCGGGGCCTCTCCTTACAATGCCTATCTGCAATTTAAAGGGTGGGAGGGAAAAGGTTACCAAGAGTTTACCTTTTTACTGAGAACCCTGGTGGCAGAGCAGGCTACCCATTTGAGATGCTAACCACAAGGAGAAAGAAAAGGCTTCTCTTCAAGTACAGATTTACAGCCTTGGACACTCGGCTGTGAATCGGAATGGACTCAATTGAAGGAGTTTGCTACGTAGGAGTTACTTATCAACACCGGGTCCCACCCCTATGCCTTTAGCTTCACCACTCCAGCAGCCAAGTTCAGAGCAAAACTCTGCTTCTTTGGACCTGCCGTTTCCTCGGGCATACATTTCAAAAACATGCTCATCAGTTAGTTGACCCCCATTTAGGAGCCTGTAACTCCTTTGCCTACCTTCATTTTACCAAACCTGTATTGAACTAAATTTTGTCCCACCTAGTTGGGGAGGATTCAGGTCTATTCCTTTGTTCTTAGCTGCCCTCGAGTTGGTTCCGAAGGACTCGGCGTGACTGCATCATGCAGGACCTAACACAACGCTGCCAGTCTGTCATCTTCACAAGTGTTGTGGATCGAACATTTGTGATGCATAGCGTTTTCACTGGCAGATTTTTGGAATTAGGTTGCCACGCCTTTCTTTCCAGTCTCCCTTAGTCAGGAAACTGCTGAAAACCTGGCTGAGGAACACAGCCACCAAGCAACCCTTTACTGAAAGATAGGAACTGCAATCTTACCTAAGTCTCCAAAGACGGCAAGAATCCCTTAGCACTTAACAAGCACTCAAACATTTGCCCAATGTTAGGATATCTGAACCAATTCTTAAAAGCAAATGCTCTCTACTCTAGCAATCAAAGTGCTATGAGAGCAGAAATTGATCCTTTTAACAATAACTTCTGGTTAACCCAGATTTTTTTAAGACAATCCCAGCAGGCTTGATCAACACATGCTTTAAGGAATAGGTGTGAAGGTGGTGTTGCAGATTCAAATTCACACAATTGGAAAAGCAGGAGAGGAGAGAGAAAATAAACCACTGACATCTGATCTTTAATGATCACACTTTTATTAAGGAAACTTCCCCATAATAAGTGAAGAGGTAGTTCATAGTATGTCTAACATACAACAGATTTAGAGCAGCTATTCATGAGCTGAAATAAGATGTTCTGGGTTGGTTATTTAGGACACTATTTTAGAAGCAGTGACTCTAGCCACCTCCACTAATAGATCTAATAAAGAAACAAAACAAATTAAAACCACACTTGATTTACCTCACAGCCACTTCAGTTTGGAGTTTGCCTTTTAAATTAAATAATAAATAAATAATTGTGGCATATTTTTATATGTTTTAAGTAAGCTATGATAGTGAGCAGCCTCTGTCCTTTTTCGTTATCCTGGGAATCCATAAAATATGAATGCTGAATGATTAAAGTTTTAAAAATTATCCTGGACAGGAATCTATTTGCATGTCATCTTCTCCTATAAAACATATTTGATATCAGTAATTTGGCCTTTTGTAATACAACCTAAGAAACATATAAAAACAAAGGAGAAATATTAGGTCCCACCAAAATTAAGAAAATGTCTCACAGAAAGAATATCTCCCAGGTCAAGAAATGGAGGAAATTGTAACTCACTGCAGTGATTTGTAAGTTAGAATGCAAAGTTTTAAGGAAACACACCTATCAAATGCTGATTTTAAGTGACCAAAAGAAAACAAGGTAGTTGTATTATTTCTAATATAAAATCAAATGTTGCGCCACTAAGACCACATGAGTCTGTACGCTCCATGAGGGCAGGGACTGTGCCAATCTTACCTTCATATTGTCTAGAATAGCGCCTGGCAACAGTAGGTGGCTAATAAATACTTCTTGAAGGACTAAATAAACCCAGAAAAAATCTCCAGCCAAAGAGACCAATCTTATGTGAACCCATGTTTGTTAGTCTTCAAACAAGTTTAACAACAGAAAAGAAATAACAGAACAGGACATAAATGTACGCAAAAGCAGCACTCCAACTGGAAACTTCTCTGCAATAGGATGTTCAGAGAAAATACAAAATGTTGCTTGCTGTCTTAGTGCCTCATTGTTGCATAGAATGGGTACTCTTTGGCTGGATCATATAAAAACCAGAATGCTAGGAAGCATCATTAGATGATATAATGCATGACTTAGAGGGAAAAAGTATCTATACATTGGTCTGATCACTCAACTGTATTCTTATTTTAAATCTTTGAACAAATGCGAGAAATTATACCAAAAATCAAATTCACATGCAAATGCTTCAAATTATAACTCTAACTTCTCCCAATTATCCAAATTAAGCCTGATATTGTTTTCCCTGTGCATGCTGACAGCTCAAAAATAAAAAAATAAAAGTCTGATGCAAACAAAATAACACTGTTTTCACACAAAATCAGTTTCACATTTGGATCATACTCATTATTTGAACTCATCAATAATGAATGCCCTTTCCTTCCCTAACCGAGTCTCAGCAAAATCAGACACTTGACTGGGAAGGGTACAGTACTCATTATAACCAGAAAACAATTAGGTAATAGAAATCCCTCTGTGTTATATTGTTGACAAAGTCTCAGAAAGCCAACAGGTACACACAAGGCAAAACACAAAGCTGAGAGTTTTCCTATTGGTGTATAATTCTTGATCATGTACTTGATCTTTTTACGGCTGAGGATAGTAGGAATTAGTGGAGACATAGGCTCATATTTAATCTCGTTATCTCCCTTGGTCAACATTGGTTGGCCATGCCACCTCTTTGGACATTGATGTCCCAACATAAAATGAAAGAGATGGGAGTAAATAATCAAGATTCTCAAAAAAAAAAAAAAAAAAGATTCTCTAAGGACTCTAGCTAGTACTCTTAAATCTAACCTGTGGGTCAGAAACAAGTAACACTCAAACTTTTATTTCTAAAATAAATAAAATGTGCAGAAGATCAATGGTGTATTAGTGATCTATCAGAGGTGGAAAGGTAGAACTGTACACCTTCAAGTAGAAAATCTAAATGTAAAAAACCTGATTGACCTTCAACTTTTCCCACCCTTTTTAGAAATTAGGTACACTATAAAATGAGACTCTTGTAGTACATTTGACAAACTTTGATTGACTAACTTCTGCTGGCTACACTTTGAAACACAGCTTTCCCATTCCCCTGGTCATCCGGTCGATTCTAACACACGAACCTATAGGACAGAATAGAACTGTGCCATAAGGGTCCAAGGCTATAACCTTTACAGAAGCAGACTGTATTTCCCTTTTGCAGCAGCTGGTGGCTTTGAACCACAGCCATTTCAATTAGCAGCTGAACACTTCACCATTGTACCACCAGGGCTCCTTGAAACAAAATTCAGATACTCCTAAATAGGCCCTTTTTAGAGAGACCATTATACATCAGTACATTTTAAGTACACCTGGAGCAATCCTGACTTCCAAAGCATCAACAAGTAAATTACATATGAATTTAAAATATCTGGCCTCTTGGTGGGACGGACTACTAGGAATACCCCCCACTTCAGTGCTGTTTTGCATCCCCCCACTTCAGTGCTGTTTTGCATTAATTGTAATTCTCTGCTTTGCTGATTATGCTCCTTGTGATGATCCTTAACTAGTTGTCTGCAATTGTGGTTGAAAAAATGGTTTACATGAACAAAGACATTAGGTTGGGGTCATAATACTGTTGAAAAGAGTACAGGACAAATCAAAATACCACTTTACAACCAACTCTAAAGCAAGTACAAATAGTGGGAAGCACATTCATTCATTGATCAGACAAATGAATTATGAATAGGCAACCATAAGTTCTCTCACATAATCATTTCAGATCAATAGCAGTACCAACTTATACATCAGACTACTGTCTGCCAAAGAAAAACATTATTCACTTCTTTTAGCATGCCCTCGATCACTGGAGAGGAGCTACTGCTATGAATTTGTTGGCACCTTCAGAATGTTCCAAGTGAAAAGCCTAAAATACTGTCAGTCTGAAATACAAGTCATTGTTAGGTAGACAAATGGAATACTAGGGAAAGGAAAACACATCACAGGATAAATAATCAATAGAAAATGGGAGCGGGCAAATGGAAGGCAAGACCACTCCATGTGGTAAGCTGCCTGGTTGATTAGTGCCTTAATTTAGCTCCCCACAACCTGAACAGAGCTTTGAAGAAGTCAAACTATTGAAGTCACTCCTACAAAGACTCAAGCCTATTGCCCCATTCTCAGTCAATTCTTGAGAGCATGAAGCCTCTATTCAATTTACACAAGTACTATCATTTCTTAGGTTCAGGACAGCTTGGGCCAGTTTACCTGCATCCAGGACCTGTGTTGCATCAGGCTGTGGCTGACACCCTTTAGCATCTGTGACTGTTGTACATGCAAACGAATCAAAGTCCACTGTGAGATCTTGCACATTTCTTTCATTGGCATTATCAAAGCTGTTTTTGCCATGCAGTTGTTTAAGGTGTTTCCTCAAAACTGGCTTATGTGCAAAAACCATGTCACAATAGTTACACTTATGGGGCTTATCTCCACTGTGAAGGTTAAGATGGTCTTGTAAGGAACACTTCTGAGAAAAGGTTTTCCCACAGATCTTACACTGGAAAGGTTTAATGCCGGCATGTACACGCATGTGTCGATGAAGGTTGCCCTTCTGGGTGAAAGTCTTGCCGCAGAGTAGACACATAAAGAGTTTGTGCATTTTTAAATGGTTGGCGTAGTTCTCCAGGTGACGAAACACCCTGGTACACTTTGGACACTGGTGATGCCACTGGAGGCCTTTGTCTACACCTCGAATATTGGGCCCAAAGACATCTTTTGAGGCCATGATGATGTTATCACTGCCTGCATAAGAGAGCGCATAATTGTGAAGATGGTTTTGCTCTATTTCACTCACTCTGTTTTCCACAGTTGAATTTATCAGGGAATGCTGGGGCTCTGATGAATGTAAAGCAGTGGGTTCAGAAGAAATAAATTGGTTTTGGTCTTTTTTACTTCTAACCTCTGATACATCCCCAATAGATTCTACCTTAACAATCTGAATATCACTGTCCTCCATATCCATACTGTCTTCAGATGGATGAACACAAGGTGGGTCCTGCTTTGGGGAGCCTCTGGCATCTCCCTGCTGCTCTTTTGACTGGGGAGAAGCGCTCTGCTGTTCACCGCCCTCTTTACTAGTCCTTGGTGGTTTGGGCTTTATGAACTTCCACAGGGCCTGCGTGCACCGTTCTACAATGTGGCTCATCTGGAGAAAGCTCGCAGCAGTCAAGTAATTTACCAGTTCCATCTCAGGGAATTCCAGCACACCACTATAACAGGACAAGAGCAACTGTCTCCCCACGTCGGAACTCTGTAATATGGAGATTTTCACCTCTCGGGAATCATTCAGTAAAAACTGGTCTCTTAAGAAGGGGGAACCTGCAGCAAACACAATTTTATGCCCCTGAACCTCAACATCATCTATGAGAACTGTAACATCACAAAATTTATTCTCTTCTCTTAATTTGTTCATTTTTTGTAACATTGAATCTCCATAATTTTCAAACTTGAAGTGAAGGAGATCTGATCTCTCAGACATTTTGGCAGACCTAAAGAACAGAAATGTAAAAAGGTTGAATTTAAGAAAATTCATACAATTAAGAAACCTGGATACACCTTCTAAAATCCCAATCTGAGTTGTCATATCTGCTTGTCTGTATTAAAATGAGTTTTCTTGAAAGCAGCTGTAACAGCTTTCAAAGACAGCAAAAATTTTACTTCTTACCAAAATCAAGTATCAATTATACCTAAGAAACTTGGCATTCATTGAACTTTTGAAGATACTCGATAAAAGAACAGTGCTTGAGTTCATTCAAATTGCCCATCCCCTTCTTAAATCAGAATTCTGTATGGTTTCAAAAACAACCTAAAATGTAGCAAAACAAATAAACATGAAGGAACTATTTCATTTTGCAGAAAACATGGCACCTGTTTCTTCTAAGGCAAAACACTTTTTCTTTGCTTTGTATTTTTAAAACTGTGACCATATTATTTTCCTGGGAAAACCCCTCTTCTGTTTATACTGATGTGAAATTTTCAAACAAGTGATAAAATGAGATTCCTATACCTAAAGGTATAAACTTAGGATCGCTTCAGTGGTAAAGGTCTTTATTTTGTACCTTCAGGATAAATCTAAACTTTTTTTTTATTCCCCCACCCCCACCCCCACATCTAAACTTTTAAGAAACATTTCTTGGTACAGATAGAAAAATACTTGGTAAAGAAAAATCAAGTGAGCCACTTGGTGAGAATTTGAATACCAGCATGGTGGAGCTAACCGATTCCTACCAGATTTTGTTTTCTTCTGTTCCATCCTTATACATCATTACTCATCATCTGGACTACTAGACCCTCTTATTAAATGTTTTCTAGGCTAACTTCCCTTTCCTTTGACCCAACCTTTACACCATCTTTCAAAAACACAAATCTCATTGTATCTTCCCTTTGCTTCTGGGATAAAAAGTAATCTCTTATGTGTGAAGTGATTAAGTAAACCTTGTAATAATTAAGGCAAACAATGACATAGCCCATTAAGCCCAGAGAAGGTGTGTCTTTGCCAAAACTCTGTATATTACTTCCCTTATATAGCAATTCCTTTGGAGACAGTCCCCATGTTCTGATTCCACACTCTCCAAATGATTTTCTGATCATAACTTGACTTCCCATGTGTCTCCCTAAAGAGAAGGATAGTTAGCCATGCCAACATCATAATTCCAGGCCACCGTAAAAATAATAATAAAATAAACTGCAATTCTATTCACTAGTCTTCTGAGAGAGCAATAGTTGTATCTGGCTTATTCTTAAGAAATAGGTCTATAATCTCAGTACATAACAAGTTCATCATCAGCAGTCCCTTAGTTATGAGAAGACAAGACAAATAGCTGCTCCAGGCCACATATGGATTCTCAAGCCTAAATTTTATAATCTTAATCTCTAATTCTCTGTTACAAAGATTTATAAAAGGCAGAGCCCAGGTCTTATTCCTCAGTGCCTCCTACAAGACAGCATTCTTGAATCTAGGCTTTGGCACATTTGTTTAGTCTAGAAGGTTACCTCTTAGGCAATGCTGACTCATCCAAGGTATACTTCCTCCTCTGAGGAAACATCCCTGACTTCTTAGATTAGAGCAGTTCTTGCTAATAGGCCTATAACACCCTGCATGTGTCTCATAACACTTGAAACACTTTCATTAAATATTTCTTCTGCTATGAGCCTTCTCATCCAAACGGGAATCTCGGTGACATTAAGAGGAAACCTTTCTGTCCTAACTGCTGGAGTGAAGCTGGGAACCTGCATCTTCGAGGGCAAAATACTTCCTGTTTGCTTCAAATTCTATGTTAATATAGCCACAATACTTCTCCCACTACACACCAAACTCTTCTATTAAAACTGGTGTGTGTCCCATCCCTAACATTGTACTAGACACACAGCAGGTGCTCAGTTTGCATTTGTTGAACCTATAGGATTAGTTTAACAGTAGTTAAAAGGGGAAAATGTTAGGAAGTAACTAAGCATCAACAAAGCATTACAGGACTAAAGCCATGAAGTTTTAGGAATAAAACATGGGAATAAGGAGCAAGAAAACAATAACAAACGAAATTTCAAAGGACTTGCTCACTGGCTCTAGAGAATGAAAAAAGCAAAGGAGGGGAAGGAGGCTATGTAAGGGTTGTTTACCTGACGGTTCAGCTGAATGTCACGGATACACAGGTAGATTAACAACAACCACAACAAAAACCCTTTCATCAAGTGTAATAAGCTTTTCCTCTGTTCGACAGTTTGCATTACACAAAATAATCACAATGAAAACCACATTCGAGGAAGGATGCGGAAAATTAAGTGTAGGATCAGAAAAAAAGACAAACCAATTTTTATCAAGATGATACATATCAAATAAAAAAGAAATATCTAGAAAATATGGGGACTCTATTGGGAATTTAAAGCAGCCAAGCTGTATTACCACTGGTCAGTTTTAGCTATTTAAGGAGGCTTCAAAATGTTTGTGGACGTGGACAACTGCCCCTCCCCCCAGAAGAAGCTACTTTAGAGGACTGCACTGAAGCTGCAGCTAGGGGAGAGGGACATGTCTGATCAGAGCACACGGGAGCAAATGAAGGAGAGTGGGGTACATCCTGGCCCACAAGGCCTGGAGGACAATATCCCAGCTCCGAACAGCCAATGCACAGAGTGCACCATATGGCTGATCCCACTATGAGACACAATGTCCCTCACTGACCCATGGCCCTCTGGGGGACAACACTGGCCTGGTCTGACCCTGCAACACTGAGGCAAAACACTAAAGGCATGTGGCAGAGCAGGGAGCTCCCAATGGAGTGCAAAAGACGGACTCGGGGGCCAGAGCATGGCACCCCTTCGGACTTGAATGGAGAACACTTCCAGCGGCCAAAAATCAGACCTTGATCTATTTACAGTTTTTTTTTCTTTTTTTTAAAAATTAATTTATTCTTTTATGGGTCATTGGTTTTCTTTTTTGTTGTCATCGTTGTGCTCTCTTTTGTCACTTTGTCTTGCTATGCCTTGCTTTTTGGGTGCATATTATTATCTCTGCAGATCTATCTAGATAAGATAGGCTGGATGAACAGTCTGGAGGAGACAACAACGGGACCGATGGTTCTGGGGGGACACGGGAGAGGGGGAGGCGGGGGAAAGGAGGTGGCGTTGGGCAACCCAGTGATCCAAAAATAGTGACAAGGAGGGTGTGAGAGGCCTGGTAAGGGCAATGTAACAGAGAAATTACTGAAACCCAAATGAAGGCTGAGCATGACAGTGGGACAAGAGGAAAGGAAAAGGAAATAGAGGAAAGAACTAGGAGACAAAGGATATTTATAGAGGTCTAAATAGAGGCATGTACATATGTAAATATACTTATATAGGATGGTGGGGAAATAGATCTATGCTCATATATTTATAGGTTTAGTATTAAGGCAGCAGATGGACATCGGACCTCCACTCAAGTACTTACTCAATGCAAGAACATTTTGTTCTATTAAATTGGCATTCCATGATACACACCTTCCCTACACGATCGCTGAAGACAAATGTGTGCATAAGCAAACGTAGTGAAAAAAGCTGATGGTGCGCAGCTATTAAAAGATATAGCGTCTGGGGTCTTAAAGGCTTGAAGGTAAACAAACGGCCATCTAGCTCAGAAGCAACAAAGTCCACATGGAAGAAGCACACCAGCCTGTGTTATCACGAGATGTCAAAGGGATCAGGTATCAGGCATGAAAGAACAAAAAATCTTATCATTGTAAATGAGGGTGAGTGCAGAGTGGAGACCCAAAGCCCATCTGTAGACAACTGGACAACCCCTTACTGAAGGGTCGCAGGGAGGAAATAAGCTAGTCAGGGTGCAGGGTAGCAACAATGAAACATACAACTTTCCTCTACTTCTTAAATGCTTCCTCCCCCCAATATCATGATCCCAATTCCACCTAACAAACCTGGCTAGACCAGAGGATGTACATTGGTATAGATAGGAACCGGAAACACAGGGAATCCAGGACAGATGACCCCCTCAGGACCAGTGGTGAGAGTGGCGATACTTGGAGGGTAGAGGGAAGGTGCGGTAGAAAGGGGGAACCGATTACTAGGATCTACATATAACCTCCTCCTTGGGGGATGGACAACAGTAAAGTGGGTCAAGGGAGACGTCGGACAGTGTAAGATATGACAAAATAATAATTTATAAATTATCAAGGGTTCATGAGGGAGGGGAGAGTGGGGCAAAAACGAGGAGCTGATATTAAGGGCTCAAGTAGAAAGCAAATGTTTTGAGAATGATGATGGCAACAAATGTACAAATGTACTTGACACAATGGATATATGTATGAATTGTGATAAGAATTGTACGAGCCCCCAATAAAATGATTACAAATAAATAAATAATTTAAAAAGTTTGTGGAAATGTGCTTGACACAATGGATGTATGTATAGATTGTGATGAGTTGTATGAGGCCCCAATAACATTATTTTTAAAAGATATGAAAATTATAATAATTTACTATTTTTGAAGAGGCCACACAGGGCGGTGGAAGCAATTGACACCAAGGGCTCAATAGAAAATAAATGTCTAGAAAATGATGATGGCAACATATGTACAAATGTGCTTGATATAATTGGTGTATGGATTGTTACAGGAGCTGTAAGAGCCCCAATAAAATGTTTAAAACAAAAAATAGTTTGTGGAAAAATGGAATTAAAAGTTAATGAAATTTCCCTAGGAAATCTTTGAAGCCCCCAGTAGAGTAGCATAACATATTCATTCATCCATATTGATGAATATTCTAATTTATAATATGATGTTATAATAAAAATAATTCTTTCAATAGCCAAATAAGTGAGGTTCTTTTTTTTGTTTTGTTTTAGTGGGTCCTGAATGCATCACAGCTTAGCTATGTTAAAGTCAATACTTTTTTTTCTCCACATCCAAAAATGAGTGTAAACTGCTTCCACCATCGATAGGACTGGTAGAACTCCTTCAGAGCCATCAGTTCTCAAGAAATTTTCCAAATATTAAGCCACAGAG